TGAGAGAAATTAAAAATAATGTAGAAAAAAGCAGTTAATTATCAAGATCATGAAAATCTTGGCCACAAGCAAACAAGCAAATAGGAGTTCTTGCAATTAAGCAAGATGCCTAGGTAGTTGTGAGGACATATGAACCCATAATTGCTTTGGGATTCTTTGTGATAAAATACGAGTAACGAATACTCACAAAGTGTCCTACAGAGTCAGTTTATGGAAATCCATTTTAAAGATGAAGCCCAGGTCATCAAAGGAAAGGATCTATAAAGGCAACTGCTTTGCAGTGGACAGATTATCCTGTCTGTAAAAGCACACATCACTGTAGCTACCTGCTGGGGTAGTTTTCTAGAAGAGGATGGAGAAGATAAAGTAAACCAATTTTCATAAGGGGATTCTAGCAGCTGAAGTCCTTTAGGCTTTGAAGTAGAGATGGATGCTTGTTTATTTGCTGGACACTTTTGATGAGCAAAAGCAGTAGGAAAAAAACAGATGCAAAACAGGAGGCAGTGTATCTATCTATTAAATACATATGAGCAAGGAACCTACTGGGGAGAAAATAAGCTTATTTTGGTGTTGAATTTACTCTAATGCATTATTCTAACATTAAATGTAAAACATGGGATGATCTAAGAAACTTTATCATTACAAAGCAATCATCCTGATCAAGTATGGATCCTGTACAGTAGCAATGGAAGGAAAACACTTGATTAAACGGCTAGCTCAGCATTTGCTTGCTGCAAAGATGGAGCAAGTCCTCTGAGCCATCAAGGATGAATCATGCCTTCCTCAGTTTGGAGACTAAGCTATCCTTGTGATGAAAAGATGAAAGCAGATTAGTGGCTACTGAAAGCAAATTTACAGGAGGATTGGTGCTTGGTAAGAAATAGATGGAGCCAGGGATGTTGTGGAATGAAGAGAAGGCTGACCCGAAGGGACGGAGAAGGACTGCCCTCACAGCAGGTTAGGACCTCTGACCAAAAACATACACAGTGTCCTCACTGCGTTTGAAAAAATACTGGGAATGGTGTTCCATGGCACATTATGTTTGTTTGACCCAGGTAGCATTTGATGCATACTAGTGTCTGAGTAAAAACCAATACATCTGTCAGGGATCCATGATAAGCTGAAGACTTCTTACTAGCTACTGTACCCAGTGATACATAGCCTGTTTAAAAAAGAGACCAGTGTGCACGTACAAGGGGCACATGCTAGTCTTCCTCTGAAAAAAAAAACCAAAACAAGAAGGCTCCAATCTGTCCAGCTCTACAGAAAAATAGGCATACTTTGTGAAACTCCTCTTATTTCAGAGCAGTTACTTGGAAGTTCAACAGTATTACAAAAGCAGTGGTAGATGGGCAGGGGAGATGTTTCCAAGCTGAGCCTGGTTTTGCATTTCCACAGTTCTTAAGGACCCTTGCAACTGCTCTTGTCTGAGCCTGTTTCAGACTGCCTTTTGTATGGGGCACAGATTCTGATACCTACACTTTGAGAAAAGTACACATAATTTAAGTGTGTAGTGGCTGTTCACAGCACATGTGTAAGAAGCCTTTCCTTTGGGTTTTGTACTGGAGGACAGGAGTGCACATAGGTAGTGCTTCCCCACAGTGGTGTGAGTCATCAAGACTGCAGAATTCACTGCAAAGTTTTAACAGTTATCTGTAGAAAAGCTTATGTCTAATCGAGAAAGCTTTGATGGGAACAGAAGCTGCCTGAAAAAGACAGAAAGGAACTGACTGATTAAGAATTTAGAGTGTATTTAGAAAGAACTAGATGCTGCTATGTTTAGTGTGAATGGGGGCAGAGGTTCCTGCGGCATACTCTGAGACCTCTTAAGGAGAGGACTTGGATACCAGAGAAGAGTGATGGTATGGGAGATACACCCATGCTAGAATGCAGTACCATCACTTGCGGTGAAAGATTAATGAAGGATTGAGTACAGAAGATAGGAATTGCTTCCCAACAGCAGATGATGATGGAAACAGGTTGCAAAACCTGAAGCAAAATGAAAGATGTGAGAAAAATAATGTGTAATTCTTGTGGGAGGCATTTCTTTCAATGTATCTGTCTACTTGATATGGACAGGTAGTCAGCTTTGTTGGGTGCAAGAGAACAGTTACTGAAAGCTAACAAAGAAACCTTAACAGCAGAATCCAAGATTTTAAAAGCTTCTCTCTTAGCTGAAGGTGGGAAAATTAAAAGAACTCTGATGTTAAAGCTGATGGAGGTGAGGAAAAGAGAAAGAAGCGTTCCTTAGGGCTGTTCCTGAAGCATAAAATACCAGCATCCAGAACATCTGCCTCAGAAATTGTATCTTCAGACTGGGCATGGTATATCTCGTTAGAGGGCAAAGAAATGGGAATCTGAGTCATGGTAGGAACTCACCCACTGAGATCCTTTTCGGTTTTCTAAAGGGTTATGAAACAGTCAGGAAAAGGTTCCACTAAAGTTTTGGGTTGGTGATTTGAAAACGTCTTGAAATAAATGTAGCATGCAAATACTGCTATTTTTAAACAGTTTGTATTTTGTGAACAACTTCTTTCAGCTGGCATGGACCTTGTTGCCATTCTGGATTCCACCACTGTGACAGACCAAAAGTGTTGTTACAATACAAAGTGCGTGAAATCTACTGTGTATCTGCTAATCCTCTTCCTTTAGACTAAATGTGAAAAACTGTTTTAAGTTCTTTATCCGCAAGACAGCTGGAGCTGTAGGGACTGTTAAAGCACAGACACTACACAGGGCTGCCCATGAGTTTGCACACAGATGGGTCTGAATGAAAACACAGTGATCTGGAAGGAGCTGTGTGTGCATGAGTGTGGATGAGCGATGCAGAGAAACACCGCGGCAGTGCATAGGTAAGCAGCAGCAAAGAAACTCTGGAAAAGCATTTGAAACAGAACACCTGGGGAAAAAAAAAAAGTCCAAAGAGTTCTATGGGACAAAGTGCCACATGGGAAATGCTGGAAACCATGAGCTCCATGGAAAATGCTTTCCTTCATTTGCCTCATACTGAATTTAGGACAACAGAACTGTGTGTATATTACTCATAAATAAACATGATTGCGCCAAAGAGATAACTGACTTACAATTGTTTTCCCATCTATGTGACCCCTTTTTTTTTTTTAGCTTACTGGTTGGGTCCTAAGGATATGCATAATTTGGATGGTTTGGGAAATCTAGTTCAACAGTGTGAAACCAGCAAATCCCCTTAAAGGGGACTTCCATGAATAGAGTTTTGCCTTTTTTTCCCCCCTCCCTTTTCCTCTCTCCACCTGATAGTAGAGTGGCTTATTACTGAGTATCTCGGCTACCATTAAGGGACTTGGAGAAAACAGATTAACAGGTAAGAAATGAGCTATGTTCATGGGATGTGCATTATAAAAAGGCAAAGTGGTCCTTTTAGACAAAGTCTAAGGAAGGAGGTTATATTGTTTAATGTGCTATGCCTACATATAATTTATAGGAAAATAAAAATTTACTAATTGTTTTTACAGCTTTTTTTTTTTAACAATAATTATGGGCTTGCTGAGGTATGGAAGTGACCTAATAGTTACAATTGTGACCTCTAAGTTATTGTTAATTTTACTGTCAGTATGTGCTTCACATCTCTTACTTAATGGTATGCTAATTGTACAGCAGGATGTCACATTCTCCAACATACAGGTTCCCTATTTCAATTACAGCTAAGTAAATCTCCTTTACTAATGAGTAAGCATTTCTTTTCCATGTACATTTGCATTATAATGGACATTTTCTTTATGCACTAAAATTATTCTTTCCTTGACAACAACGATATATTTTATTCTACAGTAAAGGCTGCGACATGATGATTCATTCCTTTCTGTTGGGTTTATCTGTATTTAAATTGTCAAATGTTCTGGATAGCCTGACATTTTCTGTCCCATGTTACTTTTCTGTACTTCCAGAATAAATTTATGTATTTGCTTTAAGACAACCTACTTAAGACAAATCACAAAAAAGTAAGCTTATGTGTCGGTCATAAATTAAGCCGTATTTTCATAATTGTGGGAGTTTCATTCATCTTGCTGAGAAATCTCAACTACTTATGTCAGTGCAAAGTGACCTTTATGATACAATGTTTGACTGATTTGAATATAAAGAACAAGTGACCACAAGTGACCCATATCGCTGCAAGATCCCACTCTGCTTAACAGAGCATAGCTCTTTGGCTGTTAAATACAGTCCCCCAGCAGATATTTGCTGCCCTGCTGATGCATGTATCTACAGATGGAGAGGGCAGCTGAGTGCGATGGAGGGGGAAGGCCTCCTGTTACATCTGAGCTATGCAGCTTTGCTGCCAAACCCACACCCTCTCGGGGGTTGCTGCTGAACTTGGGCAGCCTGGTGGTGCCGGCAGGGATTCCCTTCGTCTGCCAGCGCCATGACCCAAGAGGCGTTCCCTGTCCTGTGTCAGAAAACAAGGATATTGGCTAATTGAGGCCCTGTGGCGGACATCCTTCCTCCATTCCGCATGGCCCCAGGAAAATGTATCACCTTATATACACCAATAAGGACTGTGAGTTTTATTGATGAACCGATAGCTTAACCTCTGATAATATGCAGCAAAGAAGGTGTTACTTTGATTTTGGTAAGGCCACTCCCTATGCGGTAAATTATATTATAAGGATCTCTTCTAGATGCCCAAAGAAGTTCTGTGTGTCCAAGAGAGTGCGTTAATTAACAATCGTTAATATTCTCGACAGTTTTTAAGTTGGCCTGGTGGTGGGTGTGTATGTGGGGAAGAAGATGGGTTGGGTTCTCTTAATGATATAAGTACATGGGATATTTTAAAGAAACAAAATGTGATGAAAGCATGAGATAGCATTCCAGAAATGCAGGAGGAAATGTATGCAACCAGATGTTAGAAGTAACAGATTGATTTCCTGGTCATGTGCATGAATTCTTTCTAGCCTTGTGTATATCCTGATAATTGGATGGCTTACAGTATAGATACAAAGTTTGTTTTGTTTTTATTTTGAAAGGCCTACGGTATGCAGCCTTTTTCCCAGACAGCAGCAAAAAACAAGGTGAACAATTTTTGCACTATGTGGTTTTGAATTCTGTCATATTTTCTATTACGTTTCTGTCTTCCATTAGGATAGCTTAGTTTACTCTATTAACCACCACCATCATCCATATCACTTCCAATTCTGAGTTAGTCTGCATTATGTATGTATGTAGTTTGATGATTTTTTCTCTCTCCCGGGGGCTGGAGGTGGTTACTCACACGTTACAGTTCAAGATGTTGTCACAATGGGTGCCCTTTAATCAGTCCTTTTCGGAGTGGCTGATGACACCCGGTGGTGTGTTTTGTAAATGCAGACTTAACCGTGTTTGCAGCTGGCGAGTTTTGACCTGTCCTACCCCGAGCACTGACAGTCAGAGTTTGAGCTATTGAAATGAATCTGATCTCCTGCACCAAAAAAATGTTGGGAGCACGTTCTTGTCCCATTCAAACTTACGTAAACCAGGAGAAGCAATAACATTTCATTGCTGTTGGAGCAAAACTAGTGCCTCTGACCTTGCTGTTGAAGTCAGTAGTGTAGTTGTTCACAAGGGCTATGTACCTTTTTTATTTCCTTTATTAACTTTACAGATATATTGTATAATTGAATGTTTTGTATATAACCGTGCACTAAATATACTGCATTAAACTAAAAATCTTTTCTGTGAAAAACCTGGTTGATTATATTTAGAAATAATGACGTTTTCAAAACTTCACAGTGTGAGTATTGAAGGAAGCTTCTTCTGGTGTTTTATTTAACGTCATGGTTTCTGGCTTGAGTGCATGATTTTTCTTGCCAGCAAGTATATTTCCATGTGTTTATGAAATTCCACATCTCTTTGCCAGCATATTTCCTAATAATGGAATAGCTGGGATATACCAATAAGTAACTAATATGAATAAAAATCAAGAAGGCTAGAATCCTGATTCTGTGGTGAAATTCCTCAGTAGCTGGGACCTACTGGGGTCTTCTCAGTTTGATTCATTTCTGGATAGGTCTTTAATCAAAACTGATGATTATTCTTGCTTAATTGGCCCTTTACTGCCATCTGATTTTATTTTTTTTAATTTCCATAAAGAAGATAAGTATTACACTTAATATGAAAGAAATACAAAGCAATAATTTATCCTGATTTTTCTCAGTCTGCAAGCAAATCAAGTACATCGACAATGCAGTATCTTTAGTTGTTTCTAAAATGTCATAAAGAAAGGATTCCCAAAGTGCACTGCCACTGGACTTTGTGGAAGGGGAAAGATTTCCCGAAATGAGAATGCATTCTTTATAGCCAGATTTGGTGGTATTACTGTGCCATTCTGAGATACACAGAAGTGGCAAGTAAAATTAAAGGGGGAGAAGTGATAGAAGAGTCAAGTTACACTGTTAATCTGAACAACAAAGGAGGGCAAAGTGTTCTGAGTTCAGAAATCATTGGTTAAGGGTTGTTTGTTGGTTTGTTTTTGGTTTGGTTTGGTTTTTTTCCCCCTAAACTTGCTGCCCCTGCAGTCCAACATTCATGGCATATAAACCTCAGTGTAGGCAATGTGGGTTGAGGCCGTGCCTTGCATGCAAGGGGGCTCTGGTCAGATGAAGTACGTACACAGCATGGCTGCTCCTCACGTAAGGGACTGGAAGTGCCACTTCTGCGTAGCACTTCCTACGCAGCTCCATCGGAGCAGACCTCTCACACAAGGGCTTAAATGGCCATAGTTCCCAGGCACGGGAAAATGAGAGTCGGACAAATGCCGGTTCTGGCAGTTGGTAGGAATTGCTAACTCCACCCTTACAACATGACATTAAAAATAGCTTTATCAGATTTTTATTAAGATAATTTATTGAAGGAGTAATTTTTTTCAGAGATCTGAACCCACTGAAAAGTGACATTTGACATGAAAAGGCATTGGGAGTTTTATCTGACACGTGACAGCTATTTTGTCTTCTAAGTGGAGGGAAAAGTGTGGCTTTTCAGATAACAAACATATAACGGTGGCCACTGGCAATTCTGTCTGGTTTTAGTACTATACATTCCTAGAGCAAAATTCTGCCTCCAAATTATATGCATGCTGCTCTCATTTACTTCAGCATAGCTTGTGCACATGTTTCAAAGGTCAGAATTTGGCTGTTGGGGCTGAATTTTCGAGGAGGACTGTATTAAAGACATCTGTGCATCAGCAAAACCATATCCTTTGTCTTCTGTAGAGTATTTCAGGAGTAAGCCCAGTGCTATTGGGCACTGCAAGGGAAGCATTTTCTTATTTTTTGAATTGCATTGAGATTGCTTAGCGGAAACATTTCTTGCAGTAATAGGTTCATGATTTCATTTATTTCTTGTAACTCAACATTTCAATCCTGAAAAGTTGTCAGTTTTAAGAGAGTAAAAACTGGAAGGGACCACCCTTCAGAAAATTACAGTTGAAAATACACTGTAACAATCACAGCAAGGGGAAATAGTCCAAGGAAATAGGTATGGTCTGTTGAGGTGCACAAACTTTTGTTTGTAGTCTAATACAGAGAGGTCAACAAGTGTTTTACACAAAGGTAGAAAACAAACCCACTTTTCATTGTGGACAGAGCTCAGTATTTGAAATTGTTACTAATCAGACACTTGAAAAAACTAAAACTTGGCATTCATATTCTATTGGAGTTAGTGTGTATTAAATTGATGAAGTTATCTAAGCATGTAGGTTTTCCCCTGTTTTTTAAACATTATACACTTCTTAAAATGTTTATAATGTCTAATTGCTGCTGGATTTCAAGACATATCAATTTTGTTCTTAGTTCCTTTGGATTTTGACAGAATGTCATACCAAAATATTTTGTATTTTTTGTAGGACTGGGAAACAGAAAATCATGACTGGTATTGTTTTGAATGCCATTTGCCTGGAGAGGTGTTGATATGTGACCTGTGTTTTCGTGTGTATCATTCCAAGTGTTTGTCTGATGAGTTCAGGCTTAGAGACAGCAGTAGTCACTGGCAGTGCCCAGTTTGCAGGGTGAGTACCTATGAGATTTCATGTGCTGATTAGAGGATTGATATTCATTAATAGATTAATTAAGGTGTCCAGATGGTCTGGCCAGGTTAATGGATAAAGTACTGAATATTGAAACGATGGTACATACCTAGAGCATCTATACAGAGATACCAAAATATGGTGCATGTAGCAAATGGTCAATTTTGAAGACTCCAGCAAGTTTTACTTATGCATTTGAACGCACACAGTATACTGTGTGGGAATGTGTGTACGTATGTTTGCCACGTGTGAATGCAGTATATTGTGCAAATCTTCAACACGAGTAAACAAATTGCTGTATAAGATGCTACTGTTTTTACTTAACATAATTTTAATTAATCCTAATTTTTTTTGCATTTTGATGACTGCATTCTTAATATTTTATGGAATCATATTTTACATTATAAAGCCACAATCATGTTACTGATGAGGGCAGATCAAAAAATACGGGGTGAAATCCTGCTTCCCATTTATTTCTGTGGATTCTGTTGATGCGAAAAGGCCAATCTGGAATTCCCCCATAGCATCCATTTCTCTATCGCTTTTTCTTTAAAACTGCTCATTTTATGAGTGTGTTAAGGAGACAGCTAAGAGTGCTTTTTATATGCTTTCCAAGAATGAGCAGTTATGTTGCCTACTTGCCAACAGAAAACTAAACGTTCTAGTCAGGATGGCGCTTACTGGTACCTGGCCTTGAATCAGCCAGACATGTCCCCTTACTGTTGTCATCTCTGCCTCACCTCCCCCAATGGAGCACATTCCTCGGCTCCCTTAAATGGAGGGAATAATGCATAAGAATGTTTAAGATAAAATTACTGCTATAGAAAGGCTTAAAACTGCCATTTGCACTCTGCCTTGTACTGCTGGAGGGAGAGGAAATTCCCTTGCTGAGATCTAGCTGTGGAGCGGCAGGCTGACCTTCCGATGATCTGTGCTGCAAGGAATATAAGGGTTCAGGCCCTTCGTAGTACCAAGAAGCAGTTTTTGAAAACACATGGATTGTTTTGTTTCAAAACAGTACTTTCTGACTGCTGTTACCGTAGAACCTGTTGTAGAAAACCTGTTGCCTCAGACTGGGAGCTCTCAGGGTTTAGGGAAATAGCAAGAAAATTGACCTGCCTCAAGGAAGTGGAAAGGGATGAAAAAGAAGTAGTGACAGGGAAAAAACCAGTTAAGAATAAGGACAAGTACTGTATCTCTCCACATTTAATTACTAGCATTTGATTTAGCAGTCATAATTCACTGTGTTAAAAATAAACTGTGACCATATACCTGTGAATTGCTATCAGATTTTTAAATTAATTTCTTTAATAATTGTTGATTTTCCTAATAAATATTGATAGTTACTATAAATAGTTAAAATTAGGTAAACTGGATCCAATATCCGCTCCAGTTTACCAGTAACTTTAGGTGACACCTGGTGAGAGTAGGGAATGTAAATGGTTTAAGCCACCTTGCATATGAGATGGCTTAATAACATCTACCTTGTAACATGGATGTCGTCAGCGTGGAACGCTGAATCATTGCACGAAATCAGCACAGGTACGTAGGGCCGTCAGCCTTGAGACCGGTTTGACATTCATCCCGGAGCCTGGAAATCCTTGATGGCAGTGACACTATATAAAGGTTTACCTTGAAAAAGTCCTGTGAATCTCAGACCATGTGCACTGGGTCTGCCCTTATGCAGATTGGTTCCCTTTTGTTATATAAAGACCAGGAAGAGGTTTGGAGGGCTCTTAAATACTTCCTCGCCGAGACATCTTTGGCTTGCTCGGTGCCTCAGATGATGATCAACCTATTTTTGAGACTACTGCCATTTTGAATGGCATCCTTTTTCCCCATGTGCTGGCAGGTCCTACTTCCTCTGTAATTAATCCAAATAACTTCAAGCCCTAATTCTGCAAACATGGGCTGAGGAGGTTGGCACTGTCCCTGGAAGCAAGGGAAAGGTCTACTTTGGCATGAGAATTAGCATCTTTTGGTCAGGCTTCAGTAGTCTTCCACACCTTTCCCCCTCACCTTCCTAGGAATTGGCTGCTCTAATTTTATTTTAAAACCAAGAGAGAGGTCTATATTCAGGAGCTGTGGTAGCTTAGAGACCCCTGAGTGATGTCCAGAGGACACAACAGAGCATCTTGCGTAAGGGCAATGGGATTTACTTTGCATTATCAGCAGTAAATGTGTACATTGAAGAGAAGTACTAGCTGGGACAAAGCGATGCATATACTTTCATACTTTATTGTAACTGGACGTAGCACTTTTCACCTGGGGATTTCAAAGCTCTCTACAAAGGTGAAGTAAAAGTATGTTTGAAACCTGATATACTGGGAGAAATAATCTAGGAACACTTCATTCTTATGTAAAGATTGCTTCTGTAATGCTGCCAAGGTCGGCAAGCCTTTGGATTATTCATTTCACAATTGCTGGTTGTACTAGTTCAATCAACCTCTGCAGCTTTATCTTGCACACTTGACTACTCAGAAACATTTCATAAAGGACACTGCCAAGGATTTGTTCATAACTTTAAAATATTTTTCCTCCCATAACGTTTATAACATTCCCTTGCAAATCTTGCTGTGAATTCCTTTTCCCTGCTGGTGGTTTTTTTCCACTGCATCCATAAGCAAGACTGTCCAGTTCTGGACTCTCTTTTTTAACTTGATACCAATCTAAATATTTCGTACCCTACATAATTCTCAGCAGGAGTCAAGAGTCAAACAAAGTTCAATTCAAACCACATTGCAGTGCTTGAAATTTTTTCCTGACTGCTGACTAATCATTGTCTTAAGTGAAATAAATTGGTATTATCAGCAAAATTCCTGGTAGACAGGTCCGAAGAGAAAGACTCAGTATCAAAGAGATCACATTCCTCACTACTGGAATACTCCATTCAAGACAGGGTTACTCAGCTCAGTCTCTGAAAGATGCAGGAGACTTGTACGTTTAATGCTGCTTTTTGGTTAGATAAAAAGAGAAAATTAATTTTCTCTAGCTGTTAATTTAGAACCTAAAGAATACAGAAAGTACTGCAAAAAAATTTTTTTTTTTTTTAGCAGGCGAATAGATATATAAAAAAATCTGAATAGGAGAATATTGATCACATGTTGGGGTCACCGACTATTATTGCTTCTTTTTTAAAAAATTCAAATTTTAAATTAATTTATAGAAAGTCAGAATTATGCATGGTAACATTGTTTGTCCCAGAGGAACAGATTTTGGTTTGTGAAACAAAAAGAATTATTCCTATGGTTTTACTTGCTGCCTAAATTTTTTACAATCATCTGATCAGAGATTAATCTGCCATGCATGTGCTTTGCAATTTACCTATCGTAGTGGGTGTTTCACTGTCTCTGTTTTTTGTATATCGGAGACTAAGCTGTAGAGCTTAAGCTATTAAATGCTGTGCTGATAAGTATTCTACAAATAGGCTATGTCTGACTTCTGGTACTGTACTGAGCATTTCATAGAGTACATAAAAATACACCATCATGCAGTTCACAATCAGTGTTAGACATAATTTGACAAGTGAGAATGACAAAGAGGAGAAAGTTAGAAGCACAGAAGGATGAAGGTTACTTAAGTAACTCAAGTACTTAGATCAGAGGGTTTTAGGTACTAGCTGCCAGTCAAGACAGTTAATGTGAAATACAGGGAAGGAAAAAAGAATGTGGCTCTATTGACTGATTTACGGGATGTTGTTAGATAACTATGATCAGACATAGCATATGAACAGGATTTTGGCATAATCCCACAGTAACGGCCATGGGTTGGTGGGTGAAGGAAAGCCCTAGTGCAGGAAGGGTATGAGCACCAGCCAGCTGGGTGTGCAGAGCCCACACCTGGGGAGATGTTCGTGCTTGGCAGGTCCTTCCTGTTCACCTTGCAGCTGCTTGCACTCTTGAGTAAACTAGGGAGCCAGCAGAACTGGGCACTGCATAGGGTGTATTTATTCAATAAAGTATAAAGGAAATTGCCACAGCAGTAAGAATCCTGGGAAACCTTCACTTAGAGCTTCCTACTCCCTTCTCTGTGCACGTAAAGGCATATTTAATGAATATGATGCTTCTTATTCAGAAGGTGCTTAATGTACCATACAAGTACAAGCCAATTTGTGGATTCAGCTGTAACATTTCCAAAAGCACCTAATTCTTTGAGCAGTCTAATTTAGCTGTGTATGGTCTTGAAAGGGGCAGGTCTTAATGCCACGTGCTGCTGCTCATGCAGGTGCTTTTCTGTGTGCTGCTTGGGGCATACCGTGCACTGGGTGCTCTGGGACCCATCCCATGTGCCTGCATACTTTTCTTAATAGTACAGGAAACCTGAGGACCTGAGGGTTGGGAGTTTGAGAGGCGGCAGAGCAGTAAAGCTTTCCATATGTAGCACCAAATTCCTCTGGAAATTTAAGCCCTAAAAGAATCCAAGGGCCAGTGGGTAAAGCAGAGAGTTTCTAAACAGCCATGCTGAATGTATGTTAGACTCTTGCACGTAGATCCCCTCTGCAGAGGCACCCCTGGAAACCTGAATTGCTTGTGAGAATGGAGCTGGTGCCTAAGAAGCATGCATCTGTCACTGAGCAGCCTTCACCCAATCCATCACTGAACTGAAATGGAGCTCTTTGATAAGTGTACACCGGACAGTTGAGGGAGGAAGGGAAAAAAATACTCATTAATGGGAGATTATAAGGAAACCTCTTTACGTGGAGAAAATGTAACTGAAATGCTTACAGCTAGACAGAATGCTGGCACTAACGCCTTGCACTTCTTAGAGTTTCTCTGTTTTATTCTCTTCAAATGAAAGACTGCAGCAACTAGCCTAGTCACCGTTGTCACCCTGGGCGTTGAGAGCTACATGCTAACTCAGGGTGCAAAGGATAGTCACTTCCATCATAAACGGTGGTACTGCAGGATGGAACGTTTCTTGGCAGTACCCCCTACCTGCTGCTAACCTGGTGTGGTTGTAAAGTTTTGTAGTGAATTCCTGCACTATAAGCATGTCGGAATTCCTAAATAAGTCACACCTGCACAGTGAAATATATTGCTACCCTCTTTAACATCTAAGCAGTATTATTCCTCTGGAATACTGAATACAAAAGGCAATGTAAATCCAACCTTCAGGTACCAGCTTCTAAGAAATCAATGTGTCACAGAGAGAAGTAATACATAAGGTATTTCCTGCACCCACAACCAAGGAGTTCGGTTGCAGCCTTGGCCTTCCACCCACCAGATCTCATTAATCTTCTACAGGAGGGTTGCTTTTGTGAAGGTTATTACTTCACCCCTATATCCCCTATGTAAACACACATACCTGACCAGGCCTTTCAGTTTACTGTGATTCAGAGCAGAAGGGTTGCAGATTTCTCTAAAAATTGGTGTGAGTTAGGAGTCATCCTTGTGGGTTAACTCCGTTAGGCAGCTAAGTACCACACAGCCACTCTCTCACTTCTCTCCAACTCCCAGTGGGACAGAGGAAGAGAAAAGGACGAGTAAAAGCAAGAAAACTTTTAGGTCAAGATAAAAAATGTTTAATAGTTGAAGAAATGGAGGAAGAGAGAAAGAAAACAAAACAAGTGATGGGAAGGCCATCACTCACCACCCTCCATGGGTAGACTGACACCCAGCCAGTTCCTGAGCAAGAGGTGGCTAACCCCCTTAAACAGCCTCCTCTCCCTTTCTGTTGCTGAGCATGATGTAATATGGCACGGAATCTCCCTTTGGTTCAGGTCATCTGCCTGGTAGTGTCCCAGCCTCTTGCGTACCCCCCAGGCTATTCACTGTGGGGACAGAGGGAGAAACAACGAAGGCCTTGACACTGCAAACACTGTTCAGCAAGAACTAAAACATGAGCGTGTTATCAACACTGTTTTAGTCCCAAATGTAAACCACAGCACCATATGAGCTGCTGTGAAGGCAGCTTCATCCCAGCCAAACCTAGTGCAATCCTCTATTAAGATAATATATCCTGCAAATGGGATACCTACAGATATAAAGATCCTGATAATCTTTTGATGCTGGATTGAATCTTAGAAGTCTCCTTGAAAGAAACTTGTACCTAACCAAGATTTGGAGTAGCTTATCTTAGTAGATCTGACTGTGGGAAAGATCCACAGTGGATCTTGCCACTTCTACAGATTCACAAGCCACTCTAATTGTTTTTTGTTTCCCAAAAGTAGGAAATGAAATGACCTAATTTTCATTTATGCTTGCTTGTATATCACACTGGCTATAAAGGGACCTGAAAGTGGGTGTCTTTTCTTTTGCCAGAGCAATATGATTTTATTTACGCAAATCATATCCTGCATCTATTATTATCTACTTTCCTGCTTTAAGTGACTCTAGGTTGACTTGTCTTTGCACACTGTATGTCTTCAAAATACATAATAGGAGGGTTTTTATTAAAAAATCACACATTTTCCATTATAGCTTCCAAGGAATTTTTGAGTAGTATCTCCTAAAGGGCTAATCTTTGTTGAAAAGGGAATGAATTGGTTGGATTATAACTTGCTTTCTACGAAGGGTGAGCAACCTCGCCATAAAACGACATTTTGCTGGCTCATAGGCTCCGATTCGCTAAATTCATTACCTTTCAACATTTAATGGGGGAACCTGGAGATCAAATTTTTCAGGGAAAAAATTGTAGGGAATTGAAGGAAGAGTGGAGAAATGCAAGTTTGCCTGAACTGGCAAGTTAATTATGTCATTTTCATCGATGCTTAAGATGATCTTAATTGCTGACATCAGTAACGATACAGAGCCAGCTATCTAGCCTGTCTTATGATCTGAAGGGTAAGACTGTAAACCATCTATCTTAACACAGTTTCTTCCACACTGTCTTGCCCAGACGGGCATGAAAAACGGTTCGCATGAATTCTGAAATAGTTTTAAAGGATGATAAATTCAGAACCGTGTCAGAAAAGGAGGTGTAGAAGGACTAGTCAGTGCAAGTGAATTTTATTGTGTCCTAATAAGTTTCAGTCTTTTAAAATGCTGTGTCATGAGCAAGCATCCAGCACTCCCCTGCCTGAACTGACACAATGACAGCAGCGTTTCATAATGCAGATAATTTAATGCACACTTGGGTTGCATTTACAGTGGCAATGTTGGTCTATGCAAAACTGAATAGGTGAATTGAATTCCAACGCGATGCGCGTTCTCACGGCAGACGAAGTAAAACATGAATATACAGAAGGTGACTCAGACATACAGCACAGGGTAGAACTCTGTCTCTATCCAGAGTTTGGAAGGAAGGTCTCAGAACCATTAATACTACAAAAATAATGCTTAAATGCACTGCTAGAAAGACCTGGCCCTTTTCACCATAGTGAGTTTTACCTAACAGTGGTAGTGTCCTGTTAGGAAAAAGCTATTGTGTTGTTATGCATGCTGTAGTATCTATATGGTTCATGACTGAACTGCTGTCTCAGTACAGTTTGTAATGATTCTGTGCGTACTGTTAAGCACTCACATAAACACCTTCATTGGTAGTGCTGTGTACGATTTTGATTTAAGAAGGAGGCAGAAAGTACAATCCAAAGATGTATAGCTTGCACACTTACTGTAGCACAAGGGCCAGCCTGTGATTTTCAGTGTCTTGCAGGAGGAATATAAGCAGAGAGGACACAATCGAATCTTACAATTCTTTTTTTGCACTGACGTGAAAGTTACATGCTTGCCAAGTAAATATGGAAAAGTAGTTGCTCTGTACTCAATGTGTCTGCTCCCTCTATATGTTCAGAGTCATACATACGTAATTCAGTAAGAAACAGCACACTCCTAGTGATTAATAGTTCATAAGCCTCATATATCTGTTGGCTACCTATTAGGACATGAATTCAGGGGGTTTTTTGTGTTTGAGAAGCAACAGTTGTCTTGCCCAGTGACGTGCTAGAGACCATCAGAATTTGAAGATGCAGGTGGAACTGAGCCAGTTTGGTCCACACACTTTGCGTACAGGTGGTGATGTGAGGCATGGGAAGGGGAGAGCTCAGCTTGTCAGTCACTGCATTCGGAAGGTGTGAGGATGAATAAACGTTTTTGCAAGAGATGTGAGCAGTTAGAAATCCCTTCAGGATAATAAACCTGGAGCCCCGGTTGTTGTTTCACTGTGCTTTTGTTTTGGAGAGGTATTGCAGACAAGAGGAAGGAGGAGATAGCGCTTTTCAGCTGGCTGTTGTCAGGCCACGCAGGACTGTGCGCAGCTGTTGGGCCCTGGAATTGGAAAGGCGGGTTTGCAGGAGCATGCCAGGTCGTTGCAGAGAGCCGCCTTCGGTGTAACAGTGCCTTTTCTGTGTGCAGGGCTTCCCACTAGCCTGGATTGACTGAAGGGTGGGCATAAGTCTCTAGACTAGTCTAAGATGAGGGCAAAAACCTCTGGATCCTGAACTGCTAAAAGGAAGCTGTTTGTGTTCCAGAATCTGGATAAGATTTTTTGAAGGAAGAACTACAAAAATCAACAACTGTGATGTTTCTCAAGAAGTAAAAAGTGCTCTGAATTTTTACGGGCTAGAGCCTATTTGACTTCCTCCTAGATAGTGTCATTTTGCCTAGCAAGCACACAATTTGTATATGGTGCAAGATACTAGTTTTAAAACATTTTCTTATTTTACCAAAAAATATTAATGCCTTGCTAATAAAAACACCATTAAATAAATCTCAGACTGCTCCCTAAAATGCCTTTCTTCATTGCTTTATTCTAATTAGACACTTTTTTACATGAGAGATTTTGAAAAGGTATTATGGATACAAGCGTAAATAAACCCTGCAATCCTCTGTAGCTGAAGTCCTTAGCCCAGACATAATTCAAACCAACATGTGTAGTTGTTGTGGTGTGTTAGTGTTAATGATTTCCCAGAAAAGATTCTCCCTTTAAAAATTGTGTGATATGTCATTCAAAGTTACCTTTTGAAATAATGTTGTGATGCAGGGAAAATTTTTATTGGATGAATTTTGGAGTCAAGTTTAATCCTCTGATCCTGTTTGTCTTTGACAGAGTATCAAGAAGAAAAACACAAGTAAACAGGAGATGAGCACATACCTGCGATTTATAGTCTCTCGTATGAAGGAGCGGGTGAGTCTGAAGCACGGAATTTTATCGCAGTGTTGGGTTGCAGTGGAGAGGATGCATTGCAGTTGGCCATGTGTGACTCTGCAGGGAGGAGGGCTACAAGAGTGTTTTGTTTTCCCTGTCACAAGCGGTGTGTGTACTTCAACATACACTTACCATGTCTCGTTGCTTGGATTAGTATCATTTTGGCAGGTGTAGTTTATGCCAATGGCTCCTCTGAAATGGACATTTTTCAGGTTTGAGGCACATGTAACCTGTCAGATTGTGGATCTACAGTTTGGCCTTGTGTATTCTCCAGCCAAAATATTCCAAATTATTGTATTTTGTAATTTTTTGCTTGGTTGTTTTTTAAGCAGATTCTAAATGCGTTAACTTACACTGTCTCATGGTCCTTTCAGGCTATAGATCTAAACAAGAAAGGGAAGGACAACAAACACCCAATGTATAGAAGGCTGGTGCACTCAGCTGTTGATGTTCCTACTATACAGGAGGTAGAGTGACTTGCTTTCTTACTTCCACACTTCTTATGCCATCTTTTAACAGTGAAGATAAACCTTAAGGACTAAAGCACAAATACTCTTTAATTCTCCCTGTGATCAGTATTTCAGTATTGTGTCCAGCACTGGATACAGGAGCTTAACGTTTCAAACTTTTCCTCATAAATAGGTAGCCGAGTGAAACCATGTTGGGCTGTGCCTAGTTTTCAGACACAGTATCCTCAATTCCTGTTGTACTAAGGTTTTACTAGGAGCTGTAGGTAGCTGAAATCTTTAGAGAAAATACCCTTTATCTAAGGATAAATATGGAATATGGACTTGAGTGTCGAGTGTCCATGTTTACATATCTGGCCCAATGCTTTTGACTGTATTATAATTTTAGTCATTAAGGCCTTGTGTAGGAGGCAACTTTATAAACATCTAAATGATTCATAAAGAAACAAACATTTTGTTGATTGTGAAAAAACAAGACTCACTTAAAACATCTGCTTTGCATTAATTGTTCCAAAAATAAAGTATTAGTAAATATGCTGTCCTTTTTTCCTGAACCAAAGGGCTGACCATGACTCATGTAAATCTGCACACGACCAAAATGAACAGCATATTCATGGTCATTCATTGCTGCAGCTGGGTTACTATGCAGGGCTGTAGCACGCATCACCCTTCACAACCACAGCTGTGAAAAGCCTTTGGTTTATCGTTGTTACTGAAGCACACGGATAAACAACAGCTTCACTGGCAGCGTTGGAGACCAGCACTACTGGCTGGCTTCAAGTATTTAGCCTGAAAATAGGGCAGGCCTTTCTTTCACTGTGTCACCTTCACCTGCTTCCACAGGTCTTTTGGCCTTGATAACATCCTAGAAACTGATGATGTTTTGTTTGATGACTGGGATTCTCATAGGTGTTCTTGACAGAGCACAGCTGAAAATGCCCTTATCAGACAAAAGGCCATTCTAGGAAAATGAACTGCATGGCTCCATGTAGGCATTTGTTAGGAGTTAGGAAGATTAAGATAATCAGCCTTCAGCAGAAAACACTGACTGTCAAGGAAGATCCTGGAAGGATAAAGGCAGTCATCACTGATTTTAAACTAGCTGGTATTTTAAGGTACAAAAATCTTCATCTCAGGCAATGTGCTTTAATTTGAACAAGTGTTCTGGGCCACACCTTAAGATGAAGCTATAACCAAGAGAATTTTGTTTTAACACTAGTCAGGTATTAAAGCACCTGATTCACTCCTGGGCACTGCATGAAGGGGCGGATGCAGCCAGTGTTCAGGTACCAACAAACCGTGTCCAAGAGCTGCGAGTATTCCCCCTGTGTGTGGGACGGCGGTGTCTGGTCTGTGTTACGTAGTGCAGTATGCTGTGAAAGCTTCTCTGCGTAAAACAGGTACAGCACTTGAACCGTTTTTTCACAGTCCGATGTTTTCTTTTGTGTAGAAAGTAAATGAAGGAAAGTACAGGAGTTACGAGGAGTTCAAAGCAGACGCTCAGCTGCTTCTACACAACACGGTGATTTTCTACGGAGGTAAAGTACTACATTGACTTCTTGCTTTATTGAATTTTTTTTTTAACTGTAGGAAATTCACAAGTTCAGGATCGAATCTGGTATTAGATGAAGTCATTTGAGAGCCCTTGAAGTATGCTGCAAGGACTTTGCAGGGTCTTTCTGGCCCACTACTACACAGCTATTTTCATGCTCTCTGGCAAAACCTGTTAGTGGGAATTTGCACCCTTGCCATCCTGTTTCTTCTGCAACCTCAGTCCCAAGTCAGTGTATACTGCAGATTTCTGCCACTGTGCAGTTGTTGTTCTAGGGTAGGAAGAGGTCTGACCTCTGATGTGCTGTGTCAGCAGAAACATGTACCACAGACACGTTTTTTCACTTGTGGGCAGTCTCTGCCATGTTGTGGCAGCAAACACAGCTACATCCACACTACAAGTGTCCTGCCGGTGCAGTGTGAAGCTGCCAGCCACTGGGAGCATAGTGAGTCACGGATACGGTGGGACAGTCTGATTGAAAGTGGAAAAACACCCCCACTGTGTCCAGAAGCTATAGCCAGGTCATGTAACAAGGTTCTCCAGATCCATCGTTTCAGGAGGGTTGTGGTTCTGCCCTGCCGACGCAGCCCACATCAGGAAAATTGGGAGGAGTGTGAGACGTATTTGCAGCATCAGGACATCCACACTGTTGTTGGTAGGGAGAGATGTGAATGTGCTAACAGAGAAATACACAGATGTGAAGGGAAACACACCGTGATAAATAGTCTGTGAAGCATTACCCTGAGCAGAAATCCTTACATGATTGTACCTGTGTTCCTGTCAAGAGGTGATAGCAGAAAGCCATGTTTGAGGACAGTTGCACTGTGTCATTAAGGGACTAGCAGAGATGGGAACTGGATCCATATTAAGAGCAACCCTCTCCCCCTGCTGCTGCTCCTCAGATATGCACTTGTGTTGTTCAGTCTAAAAGCTCCCAACAGTATTTTTGCATGTAAATATGAAAGAGAAAACAAATACAGATCTGATTGTTAGAAAATTTTAAATGGAAGGGTTATTCAAGTGACTAAATTATGTTTTGTATTCTCAAGTGAGAGAATTGCAACGTGAAAGTCATAGCAATGACAGTGGCAAGTCTTTGTGAGCACTCTGATCATACTGGGATTGTTCATACCGTGTGTTTTTCATTTTCAGCGGACAGTGAACAAGCTGATATCGCGAGGATGCTTTACAAAGACACATGTCATGAAGTAAGTACCACCAAGTAACCAAAATGTAGATTTTAACTTCAGAATCTAAGAAAATTATTCTTCCTATTCCAAAAATAAAAAGGGTGTGAAGTTTGTTACAAACTTGCCCGTAACTTTCTAACAGCTGATTCAGAATGTCTTTCTCTTGGGTTTGGGGTTTTAGGGTTTTTTTTGGTTTTATTTGCAACTAGACTATCATTTGGAAAACACAGATATTCCCATTTTTGTTTTGAAAATAACCTGGTAATACATAATTGTGCTTGCTAATATATATTGAAACTGTAATTGGCACTGAAAAATTTCTCAACATTCAGAGAAGACCAAAAAAATAAAGCTAGGGGAGCTGTCATACTTTCTGCATTTATACAGTCGAATTACTTCTTTCAGAGTGCACGTTAAATATTTGATGAATTTAAAGAACTGTTATTTGGATTTTAACTTTAATAGATCTTTTAAGAGTTGAATTAGTCTCCTCCCTCTGCCTTGTTTTTCTAAAACATGGATAACACTTCTGCAGCTTGTCTTCCATCCACTCTCAGGTCACCTCAGTTTTACACCTTGAGTTGAACAGGTTGCCCAGAGAAGCTGTGGATGCCCCATCCCTGGATGTCTTCAAGGCCAGGCTGGATGAGGCTTTGAGCAACCTGGTCTAGTGGAAGGTGTCCCTGCCCATGGCAGGGGGGTTGGAACTAGATGGTCTTTAAGGTCCCTTCCAACCCAAACCATTCTGTGATTCTATGAGTTTGCAGAGGCAGAAGTAACTCCACCAAATTAGCAAGTAGGGCTGAAAAATTTAGCTACTTAAGAGAGAGTGATACTACTGAAGTCACATAAACAGGATTTGGGTGCTTATTTACTTTTTTTTTTTTTGTTTTTCAGCTGGATGAACTGCAGCTTTGCAAGAACTGTTTCTATTTGTCAAACGCGCGACCTGACAATTGGTTCTGCTATCCTTGCGTATGTTGCTGACACAGATCTTTATTTGTTTGCTTTTCTGTATAAAAGCCTGCAGTTTTGGTGTCATTAATGCATATTCTGTTTCTGTAGGCTTGTTTCAAGAGCGTGGTTAAGATTCTGTAAGCCTAGATATTTTACACAAGCGAAGTGGTTATTGAAGTTCAAAGCTGTGACAATATAGGTTATAAAACTTGGTTATCAGCCAGGTACAACAGTCTCACAAGAAAATAAGGAGCTTACAGAAATAAAACTTTGCTCCTGGATGAAGCTATAGACAAGTTTAATTTTTGGGCTGCTTAAGATCTCTGTTTTCAATAGACAGTTACACCCTTTTCAGACTTTATATGGTTTTTACTTTCATCCAAGCAATACGTCTAACAGGAAAATACGTATCGTCAGAAGATAAAAATGGGAGTAGCACCAGACATAAGCAGCAACCATATTCTTAAGATACTAGCATAGTATTACAGCAAGATATTTGTGGGAGAAATGAATAAAATACTTCATATCCAATAATAAATGCAACATTTTTTCCAGATACCTAATCATGAGTTGGTTTGGGCCAAAATGAAAGGCTTTGGGTTTTGGCCAGCCAAAGTCATGCAGAAAGAGGACAATCAAGTTGATGTTCGCTTTTTTGGCCATCACCACCAAAGGTAATTTATTAATTCCATGTGTTACTTTTTACAAACAATACTTAAAAGAATTTATCTCATTTATCATGTTGTAAATCCTGGCTCAGCTAGTTGCCAACATTAGAAAGACTCAGAACTTTGCCATGATTGTTTCAGAAATTTTAAAGTTCAGTCTAACACATCCGAAGTTGCGAAATGGCTCAGATTCCCTTTCCACAGTTGCCATAGGGATGTTACTGAATGCCATTTTAATTAAAGCAAGCAAGTGAAGTTCAACTGTTCCTTCCCATCAGTAGCAGCCTGCTAATCCAGGCCAAGGTGGAAATAGGACAGGAGCACACTCTTACCACCAGCAGTATGGACTTTGTGCAGTTTTCTCTTGTGAGCAGGCAGGTTGCAGTTCTGTGTTTTAGTAACATAACATACATCACAGATGTTTGTCTCACTGGTGAAACACTGACGGAGCACCTGCTGTGCACCAGTTTGCAATTTCAGAGAATAACTCTTTGCGTTGGAAACTTCACTCCTAGAGATCAGCTTTTACTTCCATCTCCAGTTGTTTGCTCAGCATTTGAGGACGGTTGTAGTGGTGTTACCACAGCGGATGTACTGATTTTTTTTTTTTTTTTTGATTTATAAGGCTATAATGTGAGGAGAGAAGACATTTGCAAAGTCATTCATGGTTGTTAGGAAGGTGGTATATTTTGGTGCATCCCAAAAGGGCCTAGACAATTCTGTAATAGTGTTTTATGAGGCTGTTTATTTAAATTGCTTTTAGTGCAGCTTGCACAGAACATGTTTTCATTTGCTGTACGAACTACCAAGATTTGCTAATAGGCATAAAGTGGGTAAAGGATCTTTATTTGTGTCTCACAGAATTACATACCTTGAATCTGTTTGCAAACACAGCTTATCTCATTAGTAGTTTTGGCATGAAGTTCAAACAGCTTCAAACTTAGTAACATGACACTTGTGGGATGAGGTGCTTGCAACTTCTCAAAACTGTGCTGATAGAAAAGAAAAAATACATTTTACTAGTGCCATTGCTTAGTTATTGTGCTGGACTGGGAGGAAAGGCCAATTCCTGGTTGGTGTAAATTAGCATTGTTTCTTTGACTCTGAAATGAAATTGATACTGCAAGAACTGAAAATCTGTCCACAGACATCTAATTTGTTACTCTGTGATGTAGATGTACATGACAGTGACTTTCTTTAATGTCCAGTGTTGCCTGGTATAACCTTTCAAAATGTCAAGAGCTGCCCCATCTAACTGTATGAGGACTCTGAAAATATTTAAGAGGAGAAAGTACCTTTGGAACCAAATCACTGGCATGAATTCAGTCCAAAACAGCATGACAGTCCCCACGAGTTCAGTCCTGATAGACAGGGGCACAAACTACAAAATGTCTCCATTCGAGGTGATAATTTGGCACATTCCTTGACAGTTTTAGCAAAGAGGTCAAGAGCTGAATTGGATTAGCATATGAACCTTCAGTAAAGGTGTTTCTATGTCAGACACAGGGCATTTACCAAGAGAGAAGGTAGGAGATGTGACTTATGGTGATGCTGGAGGAGGTTTGTGGCTCACCCAAAATAAAGAGACTTTCAGCCATTGCACCCACAGCTCACAAGTGCTTAGCTAACACAAATGGTGTGCGGTTCGGGGGTTTTTTCAAATGTGTTGGATACACAGAAATTCTGAGTAAAAAGGAATTGTCTGTGATCGGCCACTCTGGAAAAGTGCTTTTGAAGTCCGTTTCCCAGGTCAAGATCCTTCATCTGTATTTAATGTTTCTGAACCTGTCTGTACTGTGTATTCAAAAGGGCCTGGATCCCCTCTGAAAACATTCAAGATATCACCGTGAACATCCACCGGCTGCACGTGAAACGCAGTATGGGGTGGAAGAAGGCCTGTGATGAGCTGGAACTGCACCAGCGTTTTCTTCGTGAGGGGAGATTCTGGAAATCAAAGAATGAAGATAAAGGGGAAGAGGAGGCGGAGTCAAGTATCTCTTCCACCAGCAATGAGCAGGTGAGTGCTGCCACAGCGTTAGTAGTCAGGGCAATTTATTAAAGGTTAAAAAGATGACATATTTTTGATGAAACTAGTATTAAATTAGCCTCGCGCTCTGTCTGCAGTTCTGTGGTAACACAAGGAGGGTTCAAAGGCTTATTTTCCCTATGTTTTGTAGCTCAGTAATAGCAAGAATATAGAGTTTTCTTCTTTCCTCAGTTTCTTGGATGACCTCTGGAAAGTTTCAAAATGTCTGTCACCTACAGCACCTTGATGAGACAGACCAAGATTTCTAAAGTTAAACAGGAATGTTCAAGTTAAAGGTCATGGATATCAGATAGGCTGCAACACTGCCTTCTTGGACTCCTGTCAAGGGACAACCCTGTGGCTGCTCAGCCTTTTCACAGCTGGAGTATGTTCACTTTGGACCGTATTCTGCATTACAGATCCCCAAGTAACACCAACCGTGACATTTTCAACAAGTCCAACTGAAGTTAGGTGCAAAGGCTGCACTTGAGGACCATGTGACCAGTGACAGATTAAAGTCATTAAAATTAATTCTGAAAAACAAGAAAAAATTAAATTGCTTTGACAAAGGTGCAACGCACAAAGGGCCAAGATACAAAACTTTGCATTGCTGTATGGAAATTCACTTATCACAGCTGAACCTTGCTAGTCATTCACTGTCCAAGAGGGTGTTACATACTGACTATTACTGACTTAGCAGTAAGATTTTCATAGCTTGCAGGATGCTTCTCTATATTTTTGGCAACATTTTCGCTGGCAACATTTTCTTTCCTCATTTAAAACCACCATCCTCTCTCTAAGTCTGTATTTTAAAAAATCAGCATTTTTTGACCCTCTTCCTTTGCCCTTTTGTCAAACAGGTCTAGCATCCAATTTGTAGCTAAAAACTTAAGCTTGTAAAAGTGAATGTTGCTTGAAGCGGACGCTCCTTGTCAAAGTGGTTTGAGTGGGTTTTTAGCCTGGTTTGCGTAGCTAACCCTCTGTAGCCCCTTCATTTAACGTCGTCTATGCAGTCATGCAACAAGGCATGGTAAAACAGGAAATCAGTCACAAATAATATTTACAAAAGGTAACAGTGCCATTTTCCCAGTTTTTCAGAAATGTCAGTCACAGGGTTTGAAGTGTCCATTTGCGTGTTTTCTGCTCCACCCCGGCTGTTCATCCTTCACTTGCTTAATGCTTACGCCTGTTTCACTGGATTCCCTGATGCAGGAACATAAGAGCAGCCATCAAACTCTGTGCTCTGCAGTGATCTGCAGTAGCCTGTCAACAGTATTCAGCTTTCTATTTGCTAAATTAAGTAATTGCAAATAATTGCAAATAAAAGGTAACATCAGTCGTGTTACAGTGAATGCGCCCCAGATGAACTGCTTTTTGTAATGATTCAATATGCTTTTCTTGATGTTCACAGCTAAAGGTTACTCAGGAACCAAGAGCAAAGAAAGGACGACGTAACCAGAGTATGGAACTCAAGAAAGAAGTAAGTAACCTCAACTACTGTGTTGGTAGAGACAGCAAAGTACAAAAAGTCTGACATTCTAATAGACACTCCTTTGATTTTTGTCACCTTTTACTGATGTTACAGTACTAATCTTGGAAGTTCTAGCCCCATAGCTTGGTCCTCCTTGCTAACAAACATGATTGTAGCTCCCATACGCAAGCCACTGGTGTCACCGTGGTAATATTCTCCATCTTGAATAACTCAACAGCCACTCAGCAGAACACTGTTCTTTTTTAATGACAAATTCAGGCTAGTTAATAAATCTCTAAACAGCAAGGATTAGAAAGTATTTTGCATGATCAAGAATATGAAGTTTATACAATGTCATATCCACCTTTGTCCGTGGAACTTGCTTGTTTATCCAAGTTGCACACTGAAGGATGGTGTAACCGAGGGACTGTGTTACCGTGCTTGTACACAAGGGGGCAGTTACTGAGATTGCCGTAAATCTCGGATTTCCTAACTTCTGAGTACTTTTTCCTGGCCTTGTCTCAGCTGCATGCTGACCACTAAGAAAAAGTTGCACAGACGCACAGTCCTCGGAAGAGGACTCAGGACTCCATTACAGAGGGGGCTGCGGGTATTTTTAGCACCAGAGTCCCGTGGGATGGCCCTGGTGCCTGAAATACAGATGTTGCCACTCCTAATATTTGGGCACCGGCCTCCCCATCATGTCAGATACCGCAGGAGGCACCTGCATCAGTGGAGGCATTGTGCTCCCTGGGGCACTCCGTGTGTGAGTGCAAGATGGGGAGGCTGCAGTTTAGGCTGTCTTTTCATTTTTATTGTGTTTTCTGTCAAATGCTGTAATTTGTTTCATGTATTTATGTCTTAACATTTGCCTTCTTAGCTCTGCTCATATTTGATCAGTGATCCAGAAGTCAATCGTGGTGACCTATTCGAAAGTAATTGGTTGTAAAGGGATACAGTCAGCCTTTGGATTGGTGAGAGCAGTGCCCCATCACACAGACAGGCACAAAATCCAGTCCTGAGCAAGTCTGGTGTTACAAGGACTGTGTGTTTTGCCTGTGCACTTTTAAATGAGCTTTAAAAAAATCCAGGTTAAAAAAACCCCAAATGATGTTCATCTGCGTCTTCAGACACTTCAAACACCAATAGGAGTTTGCAGGAGTATTACTTCTATCTGTTCTAAAGAGCGGGAGCAGTTGGTGTTACAGTTTAGTAACACAGGCAGCTAAATTCAGTACAGCACACTACAGTAACCATGATTTCTTTCCTGATAATTGTGTAATTACAGAAAGCTTCTGTGGTCATCCAAGCCTAGTTCTGCGTTATTGGAAGCACGACTTAAGATGCTCATTAGCCTTTCATCTTCAAAGCACCTTTGAAGTACAAATCAATCTTTGCAGCAGTTCTGTGAAATCAGTGGGATATTAGAGACTCCAGTGGAGCTGGTTGGGCCAGAGGAAGCCCAGAGTTTGCCAAAACAATTCAGGCACCTTGGCCACGCAGCTACAGTCTCTTCAGGGAGAATGGTAGGAGGAGCAATGTATAGCAACCCATCAGTAGTCCCAAGGGACCTGCAGTGATTCAGCACAGCCTCTGATGTTGGTTGTACTTCTTGGGACGCGAGGCTGGTGAGCGTGGCGTGCTGATGCCATACATGCGCTTCCTTCTGGAGGGATCCCACGTCCCATTAGTGCTGAAGGTCTTCAAGAGGCACCTTCACATTCATTGCACTGGCATTATGGTTTTTCTCCAGGGGGAGCTGAGAGTTAACCTCTTCTGTTTTGATACCTGGATGTACGAGTTTGTTCTTTCTCTGTAGGAGCCAGAACCTGAAACTGAAGCAGTAAGTTCAAGCCAGGAAATTCCCACAATGCCTCAGCCCATTGAAAAAGTTTCAGTCTCAACTCAGACCAAGAAGTTAAGTGCCTCTTCTCCAAAAATGCTGCATCGGAGCACCCAGACCAGTAATGATGGAGTGTGTCAGAACATGTGCCATGACAAATACACCAAAATCTTTAACGATTTCAAGGACAGGATGAAAGCTGATCACAAAAGAGAAACTGAGAGAGTTGTGCGAGAGGCAGTGGAAAAGGTAACGCTTGTTAAACACCACCTACACTCTCGTTTGAGGAGAGGGGAGGAGTGTGGGATTTTTTCCTATTTTTTTTTTTCTATTTTTCTAACATCCACCCTTAAGAAAATGAATAAAAAACCTTTTCCAAAGAGACCACATAAAAATAGTCTTCATTATTGCTTTTTAGACCATTTCTAGACCAACAGACCTTAGTTTAAACAGAAAACTCCTGCTTTTTTTGGTTCTTGTCCAGTGAAATCAGTTTGTGATCCAAAACTGAAACTAACTGTTCATTCATGAGCGTCCCTTTACAAAGCCTTTGTTTCCATCGTCAAGTGTGATTATAAACAATGGCATTGTTTAAATGCTATTCATAAATAATTCTTCTTTTGTCAGTCTTCTGACCTAAACATTAAATAGATAAACTGAAATTTGTTTGAATTTTCTCATCTAACGATAACCTGTTTAAAACTCAGTATCTGAGCTGGTCACCTCTGGCTGGAGAGAGCAGCACAATTTAGAGGATGATTTGTCTGACCTCTCTAAGTACCTGTTTTAAGATGAATTTCCTTCTGAATGAAGGACTATGGAATGAACCTAGGAAGTTCAAGTGTTAATCCTGTAGGATTAAGACACCAAGCTTTTCAATAAGTGACCAAAGGCAAAGGGATCCCACTGACAGTGAAAACTAAAAGGTGTCTCTCACATCGGGGATGTTCTGTTTTGTTTTCCAGTGTCCCCTTGCTGTAGATTTATATGCAGTGGTAGATTTGGAAAAGACAAAATGTTTGTCTAAGATAAATTCATAAATACGTAAACTGATTGTTGGCAAAATGTACATGGAACCTATTCAGCTGGTTTTGTAGATGCCTAGCAGAATAGAAATATAGTGACATATTTATTTTGAACGTTTCTTACGGGTTGGAAGTTCTGTTACAACTCCAAAGGAGATAACTTTTTGTTGTCTAAATAGGAGAAATCTTTAATTATGTGACCTCCACCCACCTGAGTAATAGAGATTTGAAGAGTAGAGGTTTAAAGAAGACACTTTCATTCCAGTAGCTGTCCATTAACTTGCTTTGCTGACTTTCTTACGGCAGCTGCGTACAGAGATGGAAGAAGAGAAAAGGCAGGCTGTAAATAAAGCCGTGGCCAACGCACAAGGAGAGATGGACAGAAAATGTAAGCAGGTGAAGGAGAAGTGCAAAGAAGAATTTTTAGAAGAAATTAAGAAGCTAGCAGGCCAGCACAAGCAACTGATTTCACAGACCAAGAAGAAGCAGTGGGTAAGTGTCAAAAATGTATTACAGCAGGACAAGTGGAAGTGTGTAATGCATACTGCAGGCCAACTGAAGGTGGTTTCTTCCTTACTTTTAACCGCACTGCTCTCCCACTGGTCTTTGAGCTGTGAGGTTTTCTCCTTCACATTACTGCTTTCAGAGTTTTTTAACCTCCAGATTTCAACTCGAAGTTGTGATTACTTTCCACCTAAATTATGTAGTGTTAACAGCACCATCTTCTTGAGTCCAAACTGATGTTAGTATCAAAATGTGTTTTTCTAAATGCAGTTTTACTCCATATAAAATGTATTGCATTGTGTTCACACTCCTTTGATGTTAAGGCCCCAGAGGACACAGTATCTGGCTTCAGCAATCGATTTCCCTGCTAATGATACTGCTAGTGATACCCTTTTCTTCTCTTACCTTTTTCTGCAGCTTTTTAATGTTCTTTTGTATTTAAGACATGACTTTCTGCAGTACATTTCTCTAGCTTGGTCAGTCCTTAAGCCCAAATCTGCAGCACTGCCTACAACACGTTTGTATGCCCTTTGGAAAAGTGAAAACAGACATCTAATTTACCGTTTTATTACGTGCTGCAAACTTTTCCCTAGTTTTGTTAGTTTTGTGTCCCATCTTTGCTTTTCAAGCGTGTTCTCCCACATGGCTGTACACCGCAAGTTTGTAGCCATAACGGTACGGTGGAGTCTGTTACGCGGAGGAGCTGTCAGCCTGGCTTACGTACAGACTCGGTCATTGCTGTGGTGGTTTTCACAGAACAGGGAGATGAAAGGCACCGCTCAGGAAATCGCCCCGCACCGCGACAGCGATCCGGAGGACACAGGCGGCCTCTCCCCGCCTCCTCCTGAGCCGCCTTTGCGGGCGGCGGCTGAGGGCCGGCGGCGCCTTCCACAAGATGGCGCCCG